GTATCGTGTTAGCTAGCTATATCGCCCGATAGTAAATAACCCAATTCGAATTGCTAGCTAGGTATATCGGGTAGTATATTGAGTTAGCTAGCTAGATCGCCCGATAGTCGATATTTTTTTTCTCCTTTAGATATATGAGGTAATGGCAGTACTTATCAGGATTCAAACATACATGACAGAGTTTTTCCTTTTAGAAAAAAATAACACACTGAAGAACGTTACTCTGCTCATAAATTTACCATTTCTTTCTGTGTTTAAGATCATTTTTATGAGTGAGATGTCACGACAGAGTGATTCTACTTATCTTGTTGCCTATACATGTGCAAAGGCTGATAGGAAGAGAAGTTTATCGGGGTAATTATCAAGGGGAAAAATACTGATTTTTCTGATTTTCTATCAGTTTTAAATCGGAAAAGTCATTTTAATAAAAGAAATCAGTTTAATCAATAAATAGTTACATCAAAATATTCAAATTAATCGAAAAATAAATCAAAATCATTAGTTTTTTTTATCATTTTTAATTCAAGATATCAATTATTTTGTCACATTATTGAAATATATGAAAGCTGATTTTCGGCTGTGAGGCTTCATACCCGGTTTTAACTAAAACCAAGTTAATTTTACAAGTTACAAGTTAAACACAACTTGTTTACCAAATTAGATTTATTCAAAAACATCAGATTCCAATCAGAAAAATCAGTTTCATCGGAAAACTCTGATTTCAGTACTTTTCCCCTTGGTAATTATGCTGTTTCAAGTGTCCACGCTCATTTTAGTACTTGTTTCAAAAAAACGTACACATCTTTGGGTACATATAAAATGTGTTAAAAAATAAAATTCATATTTTTAATTTTTGTACTTCTATTGATCCATCCCGAATGGTTAACATTAATCGCCCAAGGTCATCACTAGTCGATTTTACATCAAATTGTACGACATGGAAATGTTAATCAATTAGATCGTGTATTATTATTGAAAACAAACAATGATAAGTTTCGTCTTCTAATACGAACAATACCAATGTCTTCTGACATTGTCGTTGGCAAAACAGTTGAGTATTGCAGCACTAAATGATAATACAAAATAAATATTTGAAAGTATGAATCATTTAATCAAAATGTATCAAACGTTGAATTTTGCAAAAGAAAAAAATTGGACAAAATGCGAAGAATTAATTCACGAACGATCAGAAATATTGAGTGAAAAGTCTCTTTGTGGTTTGCAATGGTGCATATGAAGCATTTGAGTATCTATATCAAAAATATCAATTGAGTTTAAATTTAGTTGTGAACAATAATAAAAAAAGTAGTGGATATTGCTCATGACAGTGGATACAAAGAATATAGTCAATATCTTGAGCAATTGCAAAATAGCAACAACACGATCATCAACACTGGAAAGAAATCAATTAGTTTATCCGTCTCATTCAACAAGAGTTGTAAAAACCGTAATTGGCGATGCACTGTTAAATACAAACCAAACTTACACATCAACCGCCCATAATGTACACAATAACAGGAGAATAGACTTTTATCCTTTTTACTTTTTGTAATGCTCCAAGTTAGATCGTCTTGTCAAACTGACTTACGATTACGTATGAAAAGTTAGTTAATCTCATCAAACTTTTTTCATTGGTAGTCTGGAAGCAATGGCATAATTACGAAGGAGGGAAAGGGGCATTGGGCTATGATCCAATATAAAAATTTTTTTAAGCGTTCGGTCCAAAGCTTCTCCTTCGCCTACTAATTCTGAACAAAGTTTGCTTTGAAAAAAGGGTGACATGAAAGCGAAATACGAATTCGGTGTAGAATAGCACGTGTATAATAAGATTTGTCTGCAAAAAAAGATTAGTCACAATATACGCACCCTCTTAACATACGGTAAGAAGAAAGACGGAAAATGACGGTATCAGAACTGGCAACAGTTGAAAAAAAGTCGTTCGACCCATCTAGATTCCACGATATTTTTCGGTTCTATGGAAAGTACCCCAAAAATCTAAAAATCCTAGTTACACGACTGTTTGGAAGATCTGTTATCACAGCTATTCTCCAAATATGCATTTTTAGTTTCATTCGTTTAGTCGTTCAAAAATTAATCAATTCAACTGTTACATTTTGTGCAGTCTCATACGATACTAAGATAGTCATGATCATTTAATAATAATATTAACAGATGATCAGAAATTAATACCAAAAACGTTGAACGAGAATGATTTATTCGATGTAAAAAAACGATTTACTGAAATATTTCTCATACATAATGAATGAAGATCGTCAATGAAGAAGTCGAAATTATGTTAGCCTGTACACCCACTATATACAACTGTCAGAAAAATCTGTGATAAACAAAAATATATATTTTACGTTTCTGAGTAGAATGAAGAATACGGTTGCTAAATGACTGTATAAATTTTGAATAATCTTAAACTTAATCTAAATGAATATAAATCATTTTTTTACAATTTAGATTTAAAAACATTGAATAATAGACAACTAAAGCGATTATTTTCACCAGTTTATACCTTATCCATTTATCGATTTGCATCATTTTCAGGTGGTAGGAGAAATTTACTTGAATCAGCGACTGTTTGTTTCAAGAATTCAAGTCGAATGGTTTATTTTTATAATAACCGTTTATCTTGCCTAGCACAATTCATGTGCTTTTAATAATGACAAAACTATTTGTACTAAACTAGTTCGTACGATCACGCTGCTAACGATTGATTTAGGGAATTTCCATACATCAAGTCAAAATCGTGAGACTCCAATAAATTCCAACGTTCTGCTTTCCCTTCTTTCATCCCACTTTGGAATAAGTTAGGTTTAAAATTAAGAACGTGTGCAAAATTAAAATCTTTCAAAAATAAAGCTGAATTGATATATCAAAAAGGAACTGTTTTTCATGTGTATAGTATTAACAAAACATGGGATAAAATATAGAAACAGTACGTTTCTTTGAAAACGATGAAAGCAGTCTACTCGCAGTCGCTTTACCTCTAACACATGATCTTTTTATTCTTTTTATTCTTTGTACATATATACATGTACAAGATAGAATATAGTCAGTGCTATAGTCTTTGTCATTATTCTACGTACTATATTTGATCATAATACCATCATTCTTCTTCTTTTTACACACATATATCTATATGACTGTTAGACCACAGTAAAAAAGGGACATTCGTATTTATCCGTTTCTTTCGATCGTTCGTTATCTTTATTTTCCTTACTATTATCACTTTGTTTTGTATACAAGTCATTTTTTTGTCAAATAAATTCGTTCGAGCTATAGTCAGATTGCTTTGTAATACATGTTATATTCTAACACTTGCTTACAAACATTGACAAAATTCTAAAATAAAACTGTCCATTATTTTAGAATTTTCATGTAATGACGAAGACGCATTTCTGGCATATTCCTTTAGGAAATTGCAATCTGTAATTTCGGCTATTTTTATCATTTTTTAAATGCAGAAAACAATTGATTTTGCATTTTACAGTTGTGTCTACTTTCTTTTTGCCGTTGAAACTGCAAAGGTAAACATCTAAATGTCCAAATGGGAGTTGGGTACTATTTTTCTCGTTAAACAAAAAATGCCGTCTTCCGAAATTGAAAAGGCTGGAAGTGTATTTTCGTCATGCCGCCTATAGGAATTCACCAGAAACTGCATGCCTATAGATTTCGTCAAACTTTCATGCTGACTTCGTCCAAGAATGGTACAACATTGCTAATGTTTACGCAATAACCTTTAATTTCAGTAGAGAGAATATCATATTAGCTGAATCTTATTTATTAATTTCTTTATGTTAAAAAATATAAATATACGTAGTACTCAAACATACTTTTGAATTAGCTAACTAAAAAGCTTTGCAGACAGGAAATAACATCATTACTCACTCCTACAAGGAAAAAAAAGGTTAGTATTGAGTTATTTGTCCTTCGATGCAAGAAACTGATCTAATGTCGCATTAACTTGAGGCCAGGACTTAATTTCTGTTGAAATTCTTTTTAACCACGCCTGAACGCTTGGATAACCTTCGCATGAGGCTCCTGAAATTGGCAACATTGCCACTTCAGATGCTAATGCAATATCAGCAATTGATAATTGATTTCCACCAGCAATATAGTTACTTTTGCCCAAAGTTTCCTCCATAAAGGTTAAACTTGATTTTAATACATCTTCACCTTCTTTTCGTGATTCATCGATTGTTTGTTGCGGAAATTTGTGAATAGGACCAAAAAAATTTGCTTTTATTAAACGGCTTGATCCGAAACGTAAATTCATGTGATGCCAGTCTAACCAATAGTCGACTCTAGCACGTTGTTTAATATCATTTGGATAATAATGATCAGGTAGATTCCTGCTTGCACATATATAACGCATTATTGTATGAGATTCGCCCAAATGAAAATCATCATCAACAATCGCGGGAACTTTTCCAACCGGATTTACCTTCTTATAATCAGTGGTCCGCGTTTCTCCACTCATAATTTTAACGTCATGTACTTGATGTTCAACATTATTCTCCATCAGTAACATGCCAACGGCACGACAAGGCTGAGATAACCAGTCAACATATAAATGAAGAACCATTGCGGAAATCTAAAAGAAAAGAGAAAAGAGAGTGAGAGGATTTTTATGAAAAATAATTTTGCGCCTTCTAGTTATACAGAGAATTGAATAAGGACTCTACGAGATTGTCCAGAGTTATTATATCAATACGTTTAAGAACGTTATGTACGAAAACATGCTACAGATACACATTTTTGAAACAAAAATCGTGTGATAGACTTTCGAAATAACTTACTAAAGCACAAGAGTACAACAATTCAAGGCGTGTACGTTAGTAATTCCTTTAGGTTGACCAGATATCCCGGGAACGTAGTTGATTAGTTGCTAAGTACTTTGTACGTACCTGGCAAGTGTTTTCAAAATTTCTCACTTGTCATTGTACTTCTCAATGATTAAAATACTCGCTTTTATTGCTAAGAGGTACTTTGTGAAAGTCCTTGGCAAGTAAGGACATTATTATTACCCTAAACCGAAAAAAGCGTATTTAAAAACCAAAAGGTTTTCTAGCTTTGGTAGAAACCAGAAGCGTTTTTTCCTAAATGCATTTAGTTTAGGGAAACATCGTTTTTAGTTTTTCAAATAGCGAAGGATTTTCCAGTTCGAGTAAAAACTCAAAAGAGTTTTTTTAAGAAGAGTTAATCGAACACTTTATATTTCAAAATAAATCCAACAAACAATTTATCTTAACGTCAGTGAATTCTTACGTAGCGATTTCTATATAAAGAGTGAAAAAGAAAAACTTTTGACATTCCAACATTTTCTTCATTCACATCTAATATTATTAGAGTCTTAGCGTACTTGGGGCCAATTACTTCGTCTGCGTAATGAAGCCGGTACTTGCCTTTTTCCAGAAGTAAAAGTACTTGTCCTTACTTGCCAAGTACTTTCAGAAAGTACTTCTTAGCAATAAGGCAAGTATTTCGATCATTGACAAGTACCTAGTAAGTAATCAAGTACTTGCATCAAGTACGTTCTGTAGGATTGTGTTTTATAGGTACGATAATAATTCATCCCACGCAAATAAGCGAAACGCTTGATTTTTCGTTCTATCATAACAAATGCGTCTGAATGTCGACATCACCGCATTTAAAATGTGCTATACGCTAAGGCTCAATTATTAAATTATCTATCTATAAAAGTATCTTACCCTTTTGTTTAGAATTTCTTTTTTGTGTTAGATGTTGGTTTTGCTTATTTACTACTTATAAACACCCTTTTTTTAACTAAAAATAGGGTTAAAATCAACACTTGTTTGGATAAGAAAAGGTTAGAACCGCTCGCTACTATCTATTTACATGGATACTATACCTATTCTTAGGAAAACATGTTTTCTTTGCGGACTTCAGATATAGAATAATCTAAGTTCACAAAGTGAATATTAAGCGACAATAGAGAAATACTCGAATAATTTTTATCTTGAAAACGATCCAAGTACTTGCACGCTGAACAAGTACTTACAAATAAATTTACTTCTGGGAAAAAAGACAAGTATCGGCTTCACTACGCAAGCAGAGTACTTGTCGCAAGTACTTGGATATCAGTACGTTCTCTAGGGATGAAAGTCAAAACAACTAAAGTTGCAGTTTTTACATCAACTTACTTTCAGATATACACAGTTAAGTTTGCTGAACTATTATTACAGAGATAAGGAATATATTCTCTTGTTAAGTTTATTTCAACAGCGTCGTCTTTGACAAGAAGAATGAATAAGTCATAGAACTATGTCAGATAAGAAAAGGAAAAAATCTTTTTCTCCTCTCTCTATTCACTATACTTTTCGTTCTCTTCTCTTATCAATAGCACATGATCAGAATTTTTTCAAATAAATAGTAATAAAAACACAATCATATGTCATCACTAAAAAACACAACGATATCATCATCCGCTCTTGCTTAGTTACATAAACCATATAATTCCATTTATCTTATCTACAGATGGTGTCAATTTAGGTATCAATGAAAACAAAATAGAGTCAATGATACCTTAAATCAACTAGTATTTATCTAGAAAAAATGACTGAGTAGGAATGAGTTACTTTACCACGGAGCGAGAAGCCTTTTCTTTTTTCGATCAATTACTAAATTAAAACATTGTTTATAGCTTTGTTTGTTATTAAGACTGATCATAAACTACTACTCAATTGCCAATGGAGAAAACAACTATGTTCATCTAGACAGAACGAATCATCTTACCTTTCTCCATGGACTAGAAAATAGGAAAAGACGATTACAGAAAAATAATTAAAAAAGCCAGCTACTTCCTTCTACAGAGCAGAGAGCACATTTAACAGAAAGCCAAAAGATTTTACTATTAGTAAAGTATATTTAATAAGAAAAATATCATTCAAGAACAAAATAAATGCTATCTATATACGGATCAAAAGCTGACAATTTTCAAATGCTTGGGATGAGACGAGAAAAAGATCGTCCAGAGAAAGTTAAATTACCCATTCAAAATGCTTTGAGAAAAGATATAGTGGGATATATTCGAGATGAAAAAAAGTAAGGTGTAAAAATTATTAGCATTTATTTTCGGATATATCCAACTGTATCGTCATCTTGGATATATCATGATATACCTATCAGTCGATGATTTATTAAGGCTATATCCAACTGTATTCAAAAATGAGGATACAGTTGGATACATCAGAATGTTATGATGTATCCGCCGCACCGTTATTCTAAAAGACAATCAAAATCAGTGAGGGTGACGTTTTTCGCTGGACGGACTGAAAATTACCGCGACATACATATTGATGCGGTTCACAAAGTTGTAGAAAAAACAGGCGATGACTATTATCTTGATGAAAACTCTAGAATTCAGGCATTTATATTCATACAACGCATTTACCAGAAGAAACGGGTCATTTGGTATTTTGCCAATATCTGTCAGTTTCACTCGCACGATTCGAATTCCTTTTTAAAAGATTCTTCGTTCATTTCTCTACAAAACCTATATTGAACATTTTTATAGATGATATAAATAAACGAATATAGATGAAACACTGCGAAGCTCCAGTTGACATTACTTTGTAGCCTAAACAATAGTTTTTAAATTTTAGTCCTTTATAACTTGCGATATATAAAAAATGTTCAATATAGTTTTCGTAGAAAATTAAACGCGGAATCTTCTAAAAAGAAGTTTGAGTCGTGGGAATGAAAATTGACAGAGGTATTGGAAAAATACCAAGTGACCCATTTCTTCCGGTACATCAGTTACGGGCCATATCCAGGCTTTGTATTCAGTAAAGGTCTCATAGTTCTTGCTAATGAAGTAACATTCTCAGTCTGCAACGTTCTATACTGCAGTCTTTGAATTAAGATCTATCACGTTCTCTTTTGATTTCATGATTTATTACACTAGAACTCATATTTTTTATCTATAGCTTATCATAAACAGACATATTTTAATAACCGTTAATAAAATATGTCTGTTTATGAAAAAGAAAAAGTTTTCTTTTGAAAAGAAAAGTTTTCCTTTTTCTTTACAAGAAAAAAGAGTAAAGATATCATTCATATCTTTACTCTTTACTTTTGAAATAAAAGATACCACTTTACCGTTACTCTGGAAAGGAACGGAAAAGTGTCACCCCTGCTTGATACAGAAGGTTAACTATTGTTGGAAGAATCCGGTTCAGTTACGTTGACAGAGAACAACTGAAGCGTGAGATTCACACAAGACTTGTAAGATCTTTATCTAAAACGAAACTGAAGTTGTAAATAAAGATATTTAACACAACATGTCGGTGCAAAATGCAGAAAACTATTCCACTCAGAACTACTGGATATCGTTCACTTCTCTTTTCTAGAACGCAGCTGAACTTTTATAGAAACTATAGCTCATATATGAGAGAAGACAGTAATGCTGACTACATAATTCAACTTGTTTCTTGCTTACCTGACTAGTGTTCACATTTATCGCATACTGTACACACTTATCACATGTTGTACACAAACAAGATATTTGTCTGTTTTTTCTTTTATGGAATTCACTTCTCTCTCTCTCTCGCAATTTGTACTATTATTTTCATCGTCGACTAGAATAATCGAGGTTATATCTCTCTTTTCTTTCATTCATTTTGTGTACACAGATATTTTCTGATGTATAGAAAGAATGGGGAATTAATGTGTGTAGAAAACTCTGTTTAATTCGTCACAAATGAAAATAAAGAATCCAGGAACAGCGTTTAAAGTAAAAACACACAAACAAGTAGCCTCACAGACCCAGCTGTAACATATATCCTAGTTTCGCAGGTAGTCGGGATGTATCTTACTATGGAAGATGCGTAAGGATATATCTTTTTTTGGGATGTAGAAAGGATATATCACTATAGAAGGTACTGTGGATATATCCAGTTATATATAGGGGTGGCACTTTCTCTTTCCTACCTTTTTTTTTATGAACAAAAGAAAAGTTTTTCTTTTTATTTACAACAAAAAAGAGTAAAGATATAATGCATATCTTTATTATTATCAACTTTATTATTATCCGTAATTCAAAAGATTACTCACTATATTCAACAAAATTCTGGTACGTGGCGTGAGCCGCATTGCGAATTTTAAAACTCGTTTACTTTAATTGATCCGTAGCAGTTTTGATCTTGAAGCGAGCCGGGGAACCATGACTGTCGACGCATCTGCTAGATTGTTCTTCAATCGACGCAGTTATAGTCGCGATGTGAGTCGCGGAAGTGGGAGTCGTGTCGCGAAATGGCGATCGCGATAAGAGAAAACTATACTGAATTCTTAAAAACCTATGCAGACTTCAGAGTCTTACCGCGAGTTCACGAGCATACAGAGATCGCACCGTGACTTCGCGACATCATAGCGAACCCAACGGGATTGCAGTGAATCTTGAAGAAAAATTTTTTTGACAGTAAGACTTGATCAAGATGACGCCGCGAGTTTAATAGAGCGCGATCGCAACGCGAATACAGGATTTCATCGCCACCGCGCGGCTATCGATGAACTAATCAAGTCCCGCCCGGTCTAAAATAAAAAGATTTTCGTTCGGAATTGGAG